GGGCCCTGTCACTACAGGCCCTTGTAAAAACTCCACCTCCCCCAGCTTTCTAGCCTTTCCGGCCTCTTTCTTTTGGAAGACTCTGGGTCAAGGGGGAGATGAGGGTGATGCAAGGGGGGTCGTGCAATGGCATCCTTGCTGTGGTGCAGCGTATGCCCAGGAAATTAGCCCATTGTAAACAGATTACGAAGCGCATGTAACAATTAGGTAACTGAAGCAAGTCTAATGCGCGTTTCTTACACAGCCAATAACACGTTCTGGTACCGCTGGCTATGACAAATCAATATTGTACTTCAGTCATCGCAATGCCATGCGTAGATTTTAGAGGACTTAAGCTTTCCTCACGTATCCTTTTCACTGCATTTCTTCAGAACCCGAAGCTGCGCTGGAGTCTCTGGCAGCCAGCCCCACCTCCCTAGGGCTCAGCAGCAAGCGGACGACCCCACAGCCCAGCCAAGCCCCCCCGCTGCTGCTGGGCACCCCCATGGATGCAAACCACGTCAGCCGAGGGGTCTCCACGACCGAGATCCCAGAGACACAACCCAGCACGATGGCAGAAACCCTGGGGTCCACGCTGGCACTGACGAGCTCTCCTGTCACCTCGGGGCATTCTCCTGTCTCGACTGCCACCACGCCACTGCACACAGCCGGGAACAGCCCGAAGGTGAGGATGCAGCTGTGGATGTGGGATCACGAGGAGGCTGGACTTGTCTCACAGCCCCCCAGCACTTTGCTGATACCACCACTGTGGTTTTTTTCCCTTCCAGAACATCTCATGCCATAATGTCAAAGAAGTGGGTGACACTGGAGCCGTCTGTCTGCAGCTCAAAGAGCCCAGCACTTGCGTGAGTTGCAACCGGGGTGGCCATGTGTCCCTGAGGGGAGGGGGACACGCAGGAGGAGGGGGCTGTAAGCAGACAGCTGAGGGCAGGTTCCTTGCAGCATCGGCGTCACCCACCATACCTGGGGGTCGGTTTGGGGTGGGAGCTCACACCATTATCCCTGGGGCACAGCCTCTGAGGTGTGCCAAACTGACGGAGGTGGGGGTGATCACAGCAGTCCCAGGAGGATCCCAAAGGGACCATCACAGCAGTCCCAGGGGAAATGCCGCCTCCTGGTTGCATAAAACCTTCTTTTTCAGGATTATGCTCTGGGGTCGTTTTAGCTTCTAAAGTATCTCCCACCACGTCTGACGGGAAATTGCCTTTGTTCTTCTTCTTCCTCTTCCCTGTTGGGAAGGCGGTCGCCTTTTTTTTTGTCATGCCAACTGCCCTAGGAAAGAAAATAGGGCATCTGAAGGAGCACGGGTCCCCTTCTGCACCAATTCCTGAGGGAATCCCAGGCTCTCTGTAACTGCCCTTGGACCCGTGCACCACAACCAGAGCATTTATAAAAACAGAAGAAGGTCTGGCTGAGACACTGTTGTGGGTGGGAGGAAGGAAACTGTTCACGCAGGAGGTACAACCTCCAGCAGAGGCCAGACGGTGCTGGACCTTGTGGGATGGCAGGTTTGGCAATGCCCTGGCTATAAAATGGCAGTGATTCATTTTTCTGCCGGTCAGCTATGCTGCCACCACGTAGGATGAGGGAATTCTTCCTTGGCTTTTCTCTTCAAATCGGCGATGAAATGGTATTTAGACTTGCTCCTGCTTACAGGGACTGCACTTCAGCAAGAATTAATAGGGAAGAGAAGGCTCCGGGGAGACCTTATTGCAGCCTTCCAGTACCTGAAGGGGGCTACAAGGAAGCTGGGGGGGACTTTTTACAAGGGCCTGTAGTGACAGGACGAGGGGTAACAGGTTTAAATTGAAAGCGGGGAGGTTTGGATTGGACATCAGGAAGAAGTTCTTCCCGGAGAGGGTGGGGAGGCACTGGGACAGGTTGCCCAGAGAAGCTGTGGATGCCCCATCCCTGGAAGTGTCCAAGGCCAGGCTGGATGAGGCTTGGAGCAACCTGGTCTAGTGAAAGGTGTCCCTGCCCATGGCAGGGGGTTGGAACTAGATAGTCCTTAAGGTCCCTTCCAACCCAAACGATTCTATGATTCTATGATGCCGACCTCAGATGCCATCTAGTGGGAAGCGGCACCTCCTGGGCACAGGGCTTACAGACATTATGCATTACATACCTGCACACACGTATGTGGATGCATATATAACACGCAGAATATCCTACAGTCGTATCTCATTGCACGCACTCTTAACCCTCCCTCCATGTGAAACAAATCCAACAGCCCCACTTCCCATTATGTTTTTCTGGGAGCTCTCCCCCCACAGCAGACGTCTCCCATGCCTCCACCTCAACTAATCATTGAGTGGGGAAAAAGCAGCTCCGGCTCAGCAGCCGCTGAACCTGGGAACCAGATAAGAGCATCTGCGAGGAGAGCAGATAGGAGGGACCGTGCCGTGTCTCGCTTTCCTGCTGGCCTTTCCCAAAGCAAGTGAGCAATGCGCTGGCACCCAGCGCTGCTAATTGCAAAGGGAAATTCTGATACTCCGATGAGTTCTTTCCACAGCACAGAAAGGAAAATACATTCTTGGGTCTCTTGTTCCATCTTGGCCTTTCTCACCCCAAGCCAAACTCTATAGAAACAGCTGAAAATGATTTGTTTGTTATTCTCCCATGGATGTTTCTGTGTTTTTGTAAGCTAAGAGGATGTGGCGATCCCAGCACAATACTGAGGCAATTCTAAGGCAAAGAGAGGAAGGCCCTGAGCTGCCCAACGCTGCAAGACAGGAGGGTTTTCTCCCCTTTCACAGTCCTGCATTGGTGGGTCCCTCCAGGGAGGGAGCGGAGGGTAGGGGCAGGACAGGGGATTCAGCTGGAGCGGGTCTCTGTCTCGAGGGGATGGGCATGGCCACAGCTCAGATGCGTGTCCCCAGCTGGGAGGATGTTAGGGAAGCTGATAACGTCTTTTAGCAACTGTGGGCTCTGTCTCCAAGCCCGACTGTGCCTGAAAATAGACCTGAGGAGAAAGCCTATCCTGTCATACAGAAATTGGCCCCCAGAAGGGAAAGGCTGCAGCTCCTCACTCCTCTTCCTCTTCCACCCAAGAGTCGGTTCAGCTATAAAATGTGAGAAATTGGTATTTTTTTGCCTACCCTTTGATCAGCAACCCAGGAAAAACATTGAAGACATTTCCTAAACAGGAAGGCTGAATGCTTCTTTGTTATTTCCCTCCTTTCCCAGCCCCAGCCTGGGCCTGTGAAACAATAGGGCTCTTCAGGCGTCTCTTTCAGTCCAAAGATCGGAGGGACTTGCCATGCAATTCAGACCTTAAATTTAGCTCTGTTTGAATGTCATTTGCAAGGGTTGCTAAAAATACCTTTGTTTAATTTAACCTCATTAAGAAACGAGAAGTAAGCATCTCCATTTTCTAGGTGTTGGGGCCCAAAGCAGTGGGCAGGTGGGTGGTGGAGGGCTGACACCCAGCCCGACGCTGCCACTTGTTGCTTCTGCTCAGTTCCGCACAGCACAGATGAGCCACCGAAACACAAAGGGTGAATGCACAGCACCACCGGTAGTACCACAGCCGAGATGGAGAATTAGTCGGTTGGGTTGGTTCAACGGCTGTTTGTTGGAAACTTTTGCAGAAACAATTTTTAGAGATGAAGGGATCGGACTTGTGGAGTGCAATATGTGAGGAGAGCGCCCTCCGCCTTCCCTCCCCCTGCCAGATCAAACTCGCTAAATCCGAGGTGGACCGTGACTGCCTGCTCCTCATCCTCGCCACTGAGAGAGGTCAGTGGGCTAATTCCTTTGATGCCGCTGGGTAATGGCTGATGTGGGCGATGGCAGAGGGGACTGTTTGTGGGGAGAGGCCGTGGAACACAAATCCTGGGTTGTAGCATGGGAGGAGACTTGTCTCTGCAACTACTGCTCTTCTTTCTGGGGTCTTGTTAGACCCGCAGAGCCATGGCTTTGCCTCCAGAGCAGTGAAGAGGCTCACGGCTCCTCTGTGCTCAGCAGCGACCGGGCTCTTCGGTGCTGGCATTAGCGTGACCCTCTACGTAACGCACCTCTCCTGTTTTCAACCTTGCAGATCCTGCTCCAGATATGCTTCAGGAGTCTCAGTGGGAGAAGGTAAATGCCTTGAGCAAATTCAGCTGAGAAAATGGATGGGCTGAGTGGCTGCAGAATAGAGATTTTTGGATGGCTGAGACCTGAACCTGCCTCCGTCTTGGCGGCATTTGTTGAGCGTTGGCACGTGAGATGGTTGGAGCCAACCTCCAGACGTGCAGCGCGGCAGCGGTGCACCGTGAGGGCACTAAGACAACCACTGAAGGCAGAAATGCTTGGAATAGTTACTGCAAAATACTGTAGTGCTTTCTTAAAAAAGGACTAGGCCCCAGCAATAACTCTTAGGATGTAACTGGCACTCTGCTTCTTCTAAGTACCACGCTGACATTAATTAATTCCTCCTCCCAGCACTCCAGTGAGGCTGCCATCGGCTTGTAAAGCGGAGCTGCGGGTGCCTATATAACTGGCAGCCAACAGAGCCGCAGCCGCCGCGCACGGAGGCATTTCAGCCGGGCAGATGCATGCTCTCAACCCCAGGGCCTGAGCGCTCCCGTTCGAGGGAGACCATTTCCCCGTGCCGCAGAAATGGATGGAAATGAGACTGTGGGGATGTGAGAGCTCATGGGGCAAGTGCGGAGCTCCGGAGCTTGGGCAGCAAAGCCCAGCTTTGTTTACGTGGTTTAACAAGGAGGTGAAGAGCAGCATTGTTTTAGAGCCTGGTGCCTGTTCAGCAGATGCACATGTTTCCTGTTTGTCAGACTCCTGGCTCTCTTTGGTGTTTTTTTCCAGTTTGGAATAAAATCCGTTAAACGGGGGAGCGTGAGGAACCACCAGGACTTTTCTCAGAAGACCCTGATCGCCTTGGTCACATCTGGACTCTTGCTGGCGTTCCTGGGCTTGGCTGGATATTTCCTGATGAAGCGGCGGAGCTGGAGCCCCGCGGGAGAGAGGCTGGTTAGTGCTTACAGATGGCAGAGGAGCGGGTAGAGGAGCCGGCGGCAGAGGCCGTGCCGGAGCAGCCAGGGGGTGCCCAGGTGGGAGAGGAGGGGGCTGCTCTGCACCCCACAGCTCAGCGCCTTCAGCCTGTGCGCGTGTCCCCAGGCTGAGGGGACGGCTCGGCTGGCACATGGGACGTTGTGACCCGGGGCTGGGTCAGCCTGGGCGAGGTGAAGGGCAGCAGCAGGGAGGGCAGACTGTACAGGGTGAAGGGACACCTCTCTTGCCTTCTAAAATTAACTCTCAGCTGATTGCTCCTGTGGGAAAACCGCCCCTTTCTCACTTGTGCTTCTAGGTCTAACACTTATTTTTGCTCAGCAGTAAGAACTCATCCAGCAAGACCCCTCCAGAGACACCAAAACCTTACAAATTTGTTATTAAAAGGGACACACTTTAACTCTCCATTTGCTGCGTTTGAGTTGTATGTCTTTCTTGTACCAATGGTGTAATAAAGGCTATTTCTCCCCTCACTTAACAAGCGATGGTGATAAAATATATCAAGAATCATAGGATCATGGAATGGTTTGGGTGGGAAGAGACCTTAAAGCCCCCCCAGTCCCACCCCCTGCCATGGGCAGGGACACCTTCCACTAGACCAGGTTGCTCCAAGCCTCATCCAGCCTGGCCTTGGACACTTCCAGGGATGGGGCATCCACAAAAACATTTGCTATTTCCATTTTCCTGTTCCAGGCAGGCTGACCGCTGAGGATTCTTCCCTGCCAGTGACTTTTGGGGATGTGAGCCCTCTGAAAAGTGAGGACAGGCCATGCTTTTCCCCCATCACTGCCATGGGCACATAAAAACTTGTGTCCTGGGCAGCCATTAGGTTATTTCCTTGCCAGAAAGGATGCTCCCAAAACATGCAGATGGGAAGTGCCTGTGTCAGAGGCAGGGACATTGCTCTCGAGCCCACTGCCTCTGGGTACTGTCTCCTGGATGCTGGCAGCCACTGAAAAGGAATGTAAATGCATGGCTGGGAGCTGCCCATGTAAATGCAGTGTCAATCCAGCTTCCAAGGGAGATGTGTCCACGGACAAGGGGGTCAGCAAAGGGGCTGAGCAAAGTGACGGGGTGGGGGGAGCTGGGCAGGCTGCCGTGCGTGCTGGATGCTGCTGAGCAGGGCAGAAGCGGGGCTGTCTGCTCCCAGCTGGCAGTCGACACCCGTAGCCCGGGACCCCAGCACCCATTGCGTTGTTATTGCCCTGTGTCCCTCCTTCTAGCAACAGCAGTAACAGGCCACGCAGCACCTCTGTGCATTTGCTGGAGTGCAATCCTGCACTTCTGCTAGCACCTTGCTGTATATCTATTTACAGGGTGAAAGAAATAAGAGCAGGGAAAGCAAAAAAAAGGCAATTTTCATAGATTTCATTCAACAGTGCTTCTTACTTGGTCAAATTGGGAAGCAGAGGTGGCCTGTCATGGGGTAGCTTTGCAAACCCAAGGCAGGGTCAGCTCCAAAAACGGGTTATGAGAAAACAATAAAACCTGACGGCTTCTCTTTTCAGGTCCAGGAATAAAATCCACAGTTCCTCCCTGGTTTTCTTGCTTCGTCTTGCCACGGCGTGGCTCAGGCCCTCTGTGCCCCTCCTCGGCAGCCAGAGCAGGTTCCCAGGCCTGCAGTTGTTTGCATCTCCTGCTCAGGAAGCGCAGGCAGCCAGCCAAGCCACTGCCTGCAATCGAAGCCGGTTGCTGTCAACCCTTTCCCTTCCCTAACTCTGTCTTTGTTATTTATGTACCTGTTTAGGCTGAAGACCCATATTACACGGAAAACGGTAGCCAGGGAAACACGATGTTGATGATGCCCCCCCAAGAGCAACCCGACCTCTCAGAGAAGCCGAACCTCAACGGTGGGACTCAGGAGAACGGGACCGGCCAAGCGTCCTCCAAAAACGGCCACTCAGCCCGGCAGCACAGCCCCGCCGACACCGAAATGTGAACCGGGAGACGCGTGTCCTTGCCGCCATCTAGGAGGGGAGTGGAGAGACAAGGGAGGGCAAGAATTTTCTATGGACAGTTAGGGAATTGCAGACCTTTTTTTGTTATTACTATTATCATTATTTCTGTGAACAACTTCAAAGTCAGCCTAAAGCACATTAAGCTCCAGAGCTGCCAAAGACTCGCTTCTCTGCCGCCTCCTCCTCCTCCCGATGACCACACAAGACTCTTCTTCGCAGCTGTTCTCTGTGTTTCTTGTTAGAACTCAAGGAGACATGCCAGTGCCCTGAGCAGCTTTGAAGCAGAGGCAGACCGAAGCTACAGAATTCATAAGCCAGGCTCCAGACAGACAATATTTTTTGGTGGCAGTGTGTTAGGCTGATTGAAATAGTTAAATTGGGATTTCAGTGACAAAAACCTCTCAGGTTTCAGATAATTTTGGTTAACAGAGTTGGTGTTTTTTTATCTCTATGTTTAAGTGCAGGGTTTAGTCCTTTTTATAAGAACATCGGGCATTTAGTCCCCCTTCTTGTGCTTTGTCTTTAGTTATTTCCTACTCCAGCAGAATTTGCTGAAGCTCTGTGTAGAACTTTCCACATGGAACTGAAGGCTGAAATGTGAACAGACCTCAAACTTATTTCATTTTCAATCTTAGCAGTCCACAGGTAGTTGTTTTAGTGGTAAAAATCCTCCCTGGTCTCTACATATCAGGGAGTGGAGATGGCATTTAAAAAGGCAGAGCCAGCAATCAGTCACTTGAGTGAGATGGAGAGCGTTTGACAGGGCTCTGGGGCTGGCAGTCCCAGCACCTTCCCTCTGACACTCGGGGGTCAGACTTTGGGAATAAAAGATGCCAAAGGGCTGCCAGTGGGATGAGTGTTAGAAAGAAACCCGGCTCCATTATGGGTGTTTCTCCCTCTGCATCAGCAGAGCATGAACAAAACAAAGTATTCTTCCCGCAGAGGGTGGGGAGGCACTGGGACAGGTTGCCGAGAGAAGCTGTGGATGCCCCATCCCTGGGAGTGTCCAAGGCCAGGCTGGATGAGGCTTGGAGCAACCTGGGCTAGTGGAAGGTGTCCCTGCCCATGGCAGGGGGTGGGACTGGGGGGCTTTAAGGTCCCTCTCAACCATTCTGTGGTTCTGTGATTGTATTTTCACTTCGGTAAGTGAAGGCCAACACCAAAATCCCAACAGCAGGAACAGGTCCCACCTAGCTCTGCCCTGATCCTGCTCCCGGGGCAAGCTGAGCACCGAGGCAGAGTTACGTGCAGCTCGCTGAGAGCCAGGGACCGGGCGGGGGCAGGTCTGTGCTCAGCCCCGAGCAAGGCAGCCAAAGCCAGCGTCATGCAAGCCCCGTGCTGATGGAGCAGATGACCAGAAGCTGCAGTTCCCCGGACGTTACTCCTACCACAATCTCTGCTGGCACCGACAGCAACCTCCGCCTCAAAACAAGGATGAAAACAGCCCTTGAAGCCCATCTCCTCTCTCACTAGTGAATTTATCGCAACCTTTCCTCAGTGCTGAACGCCTGAGGGGAAGGCATTTTTTGGGTACAATGCTTAGAGGAATGACAGCAACATCCATCATTATCTGGGGGTGTTTTCATGGGTGCAGGAGTCATTTAAACACGGTTTAAAATATTGGCTTGTTTTGGTGGGAATTGCTTCTCCCAAATCTCGTTGTAAATAACCCTGGTTGAACAAAAAAAGAATATTAAAAATCAGCTTCTCCGTTGTGTCCTTGGAACAAGAGCATGTTTATCCCACCAGGACGCGTGGCTCTGGCTGCGCCGTGTGCCAGCGCGATGGGAGGACAACGCCTCTCAGAGCGGTTGTTTCCCAGCAGAAACACTATGACTAAAGGCTGTGGCTTGTTCTGTGCACATTTTCTCCTGCTTTTCAACAAACACATTTGCAGGACAAGCGACCTAGAGCACATTATTAAACCTCGTTTGTTTGATTTTCTGGTGTTTAAGATGCCTAGCTAATTCCTGGATAAATAAATGAGACTCCAGTCTCATGGAGTGATCTGCAGGGCTGGGGGCTGACCTGACACTGGGGATGTGGAGGGGGTGTGTGCATCCATGAAGATGAGGATAGATGAAGATGAAGATGATGAAGATAAAGGCTTATTCACTCTGTACAATAACCAGCAGCGGTTCCTGCCTCAAAGAATTTGCAGGGCAACACACAGCAGTCCTGTAGTGCCTGTTCTTGTGCAGGTGCTCGAGCTCCACTGAGAGCAGGTTTGGGGCTGCGTATCTTTACTACCCAGTCCCCTCCCCTCTGGGATGCCCAGCCTTTCCCAGTGCTTGTTTCCCGGGCACGGGCTCAGGGATATCAGGTCCTTCGCGGGGATGGTATTGAAACAACCACCACTGCCTTTTGTTGTAGTTTGGGGCATTCTGACCTCCAAAAGTCTGGCTGCAAGGGGAACAGATGCAGGAAATCGAAATTGCTTTCTCTCCCAAGAGCTCCGGCTGCCGTGAAGCACAGGGGAAGCTCTCCTGAAGGCTTGATTTGCACAGTGGGGTAGGACAGAGAGCTGGGCTTGGCTTGGGGTTTTTTTTTTTGGCAACTGTTTATCTAATCAGCACTACTTGCTGTATCAAAAGTAGGAGATCTAATCAAACGTCAGGTGCATTTTTCACAGCTCAGGGTATGTCCTACAGCCAAGCAGAGACAATAAGTTACAGTCAATTGCTTTGGCAAAATTAAAGCTTTCTCTCAAACATCCAGATTGAGGGAAATGCTGGAGCAGCAGCGGCCAAGCAGGGATGGAGCCAAGCCAGCGGAAAAGGCTGCGTTTACAGCTCAGGAAGTTTTTTGCCTATGTGTAAACACAGGCAGGCTCAGCTCTGGCCCTGCCGAAAAGGTTATTATTATTATTATAATTATTCCTTCCTTATCAAACCCCTTGCATTCCTTCCTTGCTGGCCTCACTGTCTGCCGGGCAGCCTCCTCCTCCTTCCTTGCCATCCAACGCTGCCTGCAGGCTCGCAGCTGCTTTTGGGCCACTCTGGGGGGCTTTTAGGGGAGCTAAATACCTCTCAGCTTCCACCAGCAACCTGCTTCCCATAAACATGGTTCAAGGTTGACGCAAGGGCTCCTGCCTGGTTCACGCTCTCACGCCCTGCTCATATACAGGGCGGTCTGTCTAGCTGGTGAGGACCCTTGTATCGACGTGAAATGATGGAAATAATCAGCATGGAAGCATCCTCTGGGGAAGAAAAGAGGCAATTATAATAAATACAAGGTGTTAAATATAAATGTGACACAGACATTAAATGATGTGCCCATGTCCCAGCCTGAGGCAGCAGCAGGAGCTCTGACACCTATCCAGGCAGCCCCCGAACCCTTCTGCAGGTTGAAATCAAAGACTTTTTCAGGAATGAAGGAATACCTTCCTACCTGAGTTGCCATAAAATGCTACTGCGAGTTGAAGGTGGCTTGCTCTGTGCATTGCTGAATTTATCAGAGCAAACAAGTTTCATGACGTCAATAACTATGTCCCTCAGCGGCTCTTCCCTGGCTGGCACAGTATAAACAGCACAACCCTCCCAGGTGAGAAAAGTCCTGCCCTGCAACATCACAAGCCCTTCACAGCAAAACAGCAAGTCCCAGGCCAGGGAAAAGTAGCTCCTTTCTCTGTTTGCTGGTTGCTAATTTCTTGTCCATTGACTCAGCACTGGGAAGAGTTGTCCCGCTGCCCGCGATCCCTCAGCAGCAGGATCAGTCTTGCACAAGCAGCAAGATGCCCAATTCCTACTCGTGGCCCTTCGAAGATACCAGGCTTTGCCTTGTGCTGTGCCTTGGAGGACCCCAGGAAAAGAGCCTCTGGATGCTCTCCATGCTCCAGATCTCCTGGGACAGATTTTTCTTGAGCACTGTGCAGAAATTGCAGTTTAAGGCTAGATGCCTTGCATGCCTTTGTCCCGCCATGAAATTTTCATCCCCCGTGAAATTTTGTTCAACACAGTTTAGCTTCGTGGCTACAGAAATACTCCTTTCATGTTATTAATTACAACAGGTAAGTGATTACCTGCGCAGCACAGGCCGCAGCCCGGCTGAGTGGGAGCTCAATCCTGACATACCCTCAGCCCTGCTGCAGCGAGACAAAGGGGGTCACGGCCTCAGTCCCCCATGCCCCATGGTTTCTGCATAACTTTGGAACCGCAGCAGAACGAGTCTGGGGTATATTATATATAACAATGCTGCTATCTGCTGGCTGTGCTTGGCTAAAACATTGAATGCTTTGCTCTGGAGGGAAGCTGGTACTTGAGTGATGGTGCCCAGGCTGATGCAGCACCTGGAGAAGAGCCCTGATACTCCACATTCCCCGGGGTGTCGGCTGTAACGAGGCTGACATATTAACACCACAGAATTATGAAAGAAATAACACACACAGTGGGCTTTGAAGCTCATATCCAAGGAATGGAGAACACCTAAAAGGCTGTATCTACAATGAATTTCCATCAATCCACTCCCCATCTGCTTGTTCGATGCCTGATCCTGCGAAACTCGTGTGGGAGCTCTGTGATATTTGCCGCACCATCTGCTGCGAGGCCAGACAGGCTCTGCGAGCCCAGCGCCGGGACCACGGAAGCACAGGCGGGTGAGAACGTCCCGTGTGATGCTTCAGGTGGCTGACGGAGGAGCTCAGTTCCTGTTCTCTCCTCTTCCAACCGCTGGCGTCCCGTAAGGCCCGTGTATCTCATCTGTCTGCACCGATGCGGTCGTTCTGCCTTTGCTTTCAAAGTGAAGGGAGCAGCATCTGTGTGGGGCTTCTCCACCACCCTGAAAAAATGGTATTTACAGCTATTTGCATTACAGGCCCTTCACAGGTGTTTTAATTCTGCGTCTCTAATCTTGGCCTTCAGATCCATTTAATTTGCTGGTGTTTTGATTTGTAGTAAAAGACATAAATGAGATTATCTATCCCCTGAGATAAACTGTCAAAGGCAAATGCTGAAGAATTGGGCTCTAAAAACATTTTAATACG